CTGTTAGTGGGCGTGTTCTCTTTCACTGGAGAGGTAATGCTTATAATGTGACTTGGTTATTATATGGGTGTGCAATGAAAGGAGAATAGACCCTTAGGTCTGGTGCTCGCCCATATGAAATGGATACCAATTCATGATATTCATGTTTCTTGGTCTTGTTTATTGCCATGCTGCTTCATATTACTTCACATTATGTACCTTGTGGGGAGGGAAGGGGAAATGTGTGGCCCTGAACAAGATTATTTATGACAAACAAGCCAATGTCCAGTACTAAGATACTAACAAATACAAAAGATGCATGAATTGATTTAATTGTGCTTTAAATTAATGAATGAAGAGATTGCTGTCACAAGGACATTACCATTCTGGGCAATAAAAATGACCTTCACAAAGGATTCAGCAGAAGCAATGCAAATTCATACACAAGAGTAGAGGGAATATTAGGGCATTCAAGGCACAAATATTTTGGCAACATTAAACACATTCTTTTCTTTGGAACCAGTGGTGCAAAAGAAGCAGCTATTACATACCTGCCACCATCATGTACAGCTACCTACAAGATGCAAACAGCGTCTTTATCATTTTTGTAAAAGATCGTCATATAAGCCCTATCATAAAATGATCAGAAAAAATCACACAAAACATTCACACAAATCATTAAAATACTGACTGAAGCATTATATGATAAGATAAACAGGAGAATTTCCTGTAAATAAAACTCTCAGGCAATGTTATCTATGGATGCACAATCCTAAATTACCTGGACTATTTTACACAACATCAGTTATGAAAAACTGCTGCCATGCACTGTCAGTGCATTGAGGAAATCTTGCGGTTGATGTATCTGACCTTCAGGGACAATGGCTAATATTTTTGTAATAATATTGATTGAATCTACACATTTAGAAAAAGCTACAATTGCAGTGGATTTTTACTGAGGCTACTTGAAACCTATAATGTTTAAAACAAAAACACTAAAAGAAACTTGTATGCTAGACATGTGAATATAAATATTTGGCTCCGTGCCAGAGTGTCAAACTTCTACCTGAAATTATACCTTGCATAACAGACTCTTTCACTTTTTTTTCTTTCACGTTTTTGATCTGAGGAAGTGGGTCTGGCCCACGAAAGCTCATCATCTAATAAACCATCTTGTTAGTCTTTAAAGTGCTACATTGTCCTGCATTTTTCTTTCACTACTTAGTACAGAGACTTTTTAATCAGGGACGAGTCAATTTAATTTGTACCTTCTCGTGAGTGCAAGGGACTGGACTAGATGACCACTCAAGGTCCCTTTCAGTCCTATGATTCTAATGTGCAAAAGAGTCTAAGTACAGATAAAAATCTGTCATGCTTCTTAGTAACAAAGTCTGGTAAGTTTCATAATTCTTTTGAATAGTCTATTGCCATCTTCAATAGAGAAAATCTTGTCCAAATTGGGATAGTAAGAAAACTGAATTCTCCTACCTTTCCTGAGCTTCATCACTAGAAGGACCAGAAGCATATCAATGCACACATTGTTTTCTCTGAACCTGAACACAAATAGTTGCCAAATAAAATGCTATAATATTAAATGAGTCAGCATCGGAGATCATGATCTGCAAGAGTATCTAGAAGATCCTGGTTAGAACAACCTTAACCATTCAATGAATGCACTGGGCTTTCATCTGTTACTTTTCCCACCCATCTATTCAGATTCTTTCTATTAATTTTCTTCTGAATTGGAATGAGAATGAGTTTACAACTTCATCACTGCTCCTTGTAGCTGGGAATAATGAAGGTCCAGTACACAATCAACGCATTGTGGAGGAGGAGAAGTGTCTTAAATAGTAAGAAATGGATTATTTCTTGTCTTGTGTCCTTGCACCTTATCAATTTAAACAGGATAACCTGATGAATCACGCAAAATAGGGCAGTGAACTTAGACTATCTGCTAGAGAATAGCTAACAATCATAAGTGTCTCCTGCTTTCAAGCACAGAAGTCCAAAGTTTCCTCTTTGAACTACTTCCCTGTGAAAATGCATCCCTTTCCTGCATCAGCCTTTCCTTGAAGCTTGCAGAACACAGAAAATTCTGTAAAAAATTATGGGTGAGTTAACATAAGAGGAATCCATATCAACATCTCCTGAGTTAAAGGTATCTGTGCACCATGGAGTGAGAATATCAGTGCAATTCTTAATGCTGTTGTACTGGTTCATGAGTCAGAAACCAGAAATATGTTGAACTCTCATTGATAGCAGGAAAAACATAATGCTTAATCCTTGGAGGAGGCACAGGATGCATACACTGCAAGATGAGCTATCCAGTGGCACAAATGGAAGAGGTCCCACAAGTTCAGCCGACTGAAGGCATACAGAGTTTGAGGGAACCGACTAGAAAATGCATAATTACTAGACTTAGTGAAATATAATGTACTGCTGACTGTAAAACTGATGTCATGTACGATGTGTTGAAAATCAGAAGGTTGTATAAAACTCTCAAGGATGCACTATTCACATTATTCAGATGGTACCTTCTTGACAGCCAAGTTGCAAGTAAGTACTAATGTTTTTTTCAGTCAATGCCAGGATTCCAAAGAGTAGAGAGGCAAAGCTCATGAACATCAAAGCTTTAAAAAATTCATTAAATTCTGAGTTATGTGATTTAAGGACATTTACTTTTCTGTTAGGTAAATATTAGATCTCTTAACAGTGAGTTTTTAAATGAATGGAACAGCTAGAAAATTTTTTGCCCTGCTTCCCAAACATGGCTATTTTGAAATTATGTACTTGTGCTAGCTCCCAGGAAATGAGATCTGCTTAACTGCGACTTTTCATCATGAACATCTTTTGATTACAGTGAAAGGCACGTTAGTATTTTTTCCTCAAGGAATCAGGGCACATAAGGTCCAATCAAAAGGGTTAGCATCATTGTGAAAGTCTTAATCTTTGAATCTATCTATCCCCAAATAAAATATTTTGAAATACAAGAGACCAGGAAGTGCCTCCACGCACAATAGATGCCTCTAGAACATGTTACATTTTCAATAACAAGCTGTTTTCTTATACATTTTAAAAATAGTATTTTGACAGAATGTGTGATAACTTCAACTATATGTAGAGTCAAAAATACAAAATATTAACAGTTCACTTAAAATGAAATTACTGTATAAATAACTTCAGCCATTTTAGCTATGCTCAACACACACACTTCTCCATTACTGCTACAGGGTCTAATAAGCTGCATGCAAAAAAGTTGCTTTTACATCTAAATATCAGCATTTACTGGTACAGTAAACAGCTATTTTCAAAATTAGTAAGTAACAGTAACAAGATACATGTAAACAGTAAACATACAACATTCTAAACTATAAACTGACTCTTCAGACACATAACATAATGTGTTTGTATTTACAGATAGGCACAGAGACTTATAAATGCAAATAAAAATAATCATCACACAAATAACATTATTATATGCCTATAAAAAACATTTCAGAACAGCTTACTCTAAAAATCAACATTAAATATCATAATACAAAAAGAAAGGCAGTTGGGGGAAATGGAAATCTGTCTTAGCATCTTATTAGAAATAAAGTGCTCCTTCCATAACAACTTTTTCATTTACAATGTTGCCACAAGCTGTTCACCATGATACTGTAAAATAGTTACTGAGCAACTACCAATGCTGTCAATGGGCCTTGTTCACAGGTGCTGGAATTCTATTTTCAAAGTCAGGCTTGGTGAACAGGGACCCCAGAAACACAGAAAGGGATTAATTTATCTGATTCACTTTTCTTATACTACTCCATTTCTTCCCATTTTGATCACTTGGATGTGATTTAATAATTACATCAGGGACTGATTTAATAATTACCTCAGTAATCTGCACATATTTTTATTTAATCAATATATCTAATATAAACTACTAGGCTATGTCTACACTCGCGGCTTCTTGCACGAGTAATATGCAAATGAGGCTAAGCATGGAATATCGCTGAGCCTCATTTGCATACCTAATGAGCCACCATTTTTTTCAGAAGAGGCTTTTGTGCAAGAAGGAGTATCTACACTGCCCCTTCTTACGCAAGAAAAACCCTCTTGTGCAATGTCGTTCTTCCTGAAAAGTAACAGATGCTCCTTCTTGCACAAGAGCCTCTTCTGAAAAAAATGGTGGCTCATTAGGTATGCAAATGAGGCTCAGTGATATTCCACGCTTAGCGTCATTTGCATATTACTCATGCAAGAAGCCGCGAATGTAGACATAGCCCTAGTGTTTGGCATCTAGCTAGCAATGGAAATTTGTATACATTCCCTTGGTTACAACCCTAATTGGCCGAATGTTCACTTAATGCTCAGTGCTCCTTTACAATGTCACCATTACTCAATGCTGACAATGATGACTCTCTAAAGGAGTCGGAGCTACACCAAAAGCCAGAATGCCTGTTTCATGGGAAAAACTTGTGGGAAGAAGATGGAGAAGAAATCCCAAGGGGGACAGATTATGTTTCAC